GTTAAAAAGGAAAAAAATATTGGATGCATAAAGTGAGATGCCCTTATACGAATAGTCTATTAGTTAGAGAGAGAGCGTTAACATCAAACCATCGAAGGTTCTAAAACATATGCACGTGTTGCCATTTGGGCCACCTACTTCCATACTTGTCTTTGTTTATGATTTGCATTCACTTTCAATTTCGTTCGTTATTGTTCCTGATCTATCATCTCAAACACTTTCAATGGAGCATGTACAGAAGAGGCACAAAAACAACCCGCAAACAATTTGAAAATTTAGTAGAGTTTGTGGAGGAAAATAAAGTTTATTTTCAATACCATTTTCCAATTGTTCTAATAAAGCTAACCTTATAATACCACCAAAAGACATATTTTTCTTTTAAATTAAAAACAAATTATAGCTAAAAGACAAAACTACGCTCTGATTAAACACCATTGTTTTATTTATTCCTCGAAGTTAACTTCGAGGGATGCACGTTAAGTTCGAAAGCGGCATGTGATTAGATGCTGTTATTCTGAAGCGCTATTTCTTCATATAACGTTCGTCGATAGCGTGCGCCTGTTATAATATAAAGGTTTTACTGATACAACACACCAGTTGGAGCCCCATAACGTGTTTGACGGATAACATGCACGTTAAAGATAACGTGAGTGATACATCACAGGGCTGAATGACGCTATTTCTGAACCACCGTTATTTGATGTTACGCTTTAACCAAGATTGGTTTGTATTTATCGTTCTAAACTAAATACGTTGTAAATGGTTGAAAATCATATTACCACACCTAATATCAAGGATGAATGTTGTTACATATCTATTTTAACTACTTATTTTACGTCACTAAACTGCTTCGTTGGTACGTTTATTTTTAATTGCCGACTTCTCTCTCCATGGTAGATCGAATGAGAGCTTATTCCGCAAGAGTATTTCATCACATCACTAAATTTACTGGATTGTTTTGATAAATGTGACGTCATGCATGTATATTTTTTGCTAACCGCAGTACAGAAAATATAAAAGTAAATAGCATTCCAGGAAAATGGGAAATTCAGCCTCTGTTAAGCGAGAATTATTTCTATCGGCCTTATCTATGGACGTTTTTTTCCTGATGTCCTTTTTCAGATTTATGGGCTTAGCTTACTTCTAGCAAAATAAGTAACTGAAACCATCTTAAATCGTGTTTCACATTATTCTCACTCCCTAATTAGATCGATAACTGAAATTGTCATGTTTAGTTCGGTTTCTGCGACTTGAGTAACACAGGAAATGTTTTCAGGTATTAGTCAATGATTCAATGTTAAGCGCATTGTTGTCAACAGTGGTGGTATGAATAATAGTTTACTTGACTTGAAATGCAATATTATCCTTGAATACGTTATTGTCATTTTGCAATTACATTAATTAACATGATTTAAAAAAATGTAATTCTTGTTTGAAGAAAATTCTTAATTTTTTTCTTCATTGGTTCAGTTAAAGATTCGGTGGATGGAAAATCTGCCCATACATCGAAAGAAAATGATAAGCATCCTGGAGAATTGCTTCGAGCTACTAGCAAGTCATCCATGTATGCATCGAGTACAAAAGTAAGTTGCAATCTAAATCTAAAGAACGAGATCTAAATGATTACGATTAGGACATTTCACTCGCAAAGTTCTTATCTAACGGTTAGCAGACTCTTTAATAATAGGCTGACACTATTAGAGGCCGACCAGGCTGTATCAGAAACTTAAAAAGCTAAAAAAAAATCAAATACCATAATCAGTACAGATTTAAGCAATAAATATAACTGATTAGCAATAAAAAAGTGACCAACTTCCTTAGTCTCACCCTGTCTCTTCTGGTTTTTCCCACGATCGTTAGAGTCTTCATCTCTGCTACTCGCAGCATGCACTTTGTTTTATTTGTTTCCTCTCGTATCTCTATCCCATGTCATGATGGGTCTCACGCATGTTCTGTATATTTTTACTTTGCTCTCTGTTCGCATGTATTGATTTGCCCATGCGATTTCCCTAAGGCATCCTGATACTGCCGCAGCTTTACTGATTTGGCATCTTAGGTCCTTGACTGGGTCATAACTACTTGACAGGTCTACGCCAAGGTATTTAAATTGTAATACTTGTTCTATAATTTTGTCTTCGATAGCAAGTTTACATCGAACAGGTTCCCTGGCGATTGTCATAGTCTTTGTTTTGTTAATATACATTGTAATATTGAGCTGTTGGCTGATTTGATGAAACCTGAAAAGCTGCCTCTAGAGGTCGTCTTCGTTCTCCGCGATAACTGCGGCGTCGTCGGCATAACATATCATGCTGATTCTCTTGTTAATTCTGTACCCTAGGTTCAGGGATGTCACTGCTTCTATAATTGTATCCATGAGGATATTGAACAGAGACGGACTGCGACTATCCCCCTGTCTGATTCCTCCTAGTATTGGAATGCTATTTGATATTTGATTTTACTTTTGTTGTGTTGTGACTATTTAGATTGTGAATTACTTTTATAATGTTTGCTGATGTATTCCTTTCTGTTAAGCTTTTGATGATGTCGGCTAGGCGCACCCTATCAAACGCCTTGATCAGATCTATGAAGCACATATAGGCCGGTGTGTTGAATTCTATAGCCTTTTCCTTTATTTGTTTGTCAATGAATATAGCGTCTGTTGTTCATCTGTTCCTCCTAAACCCTTGTTGTTCTTCGCGGTTTTCTATGTGTTCTGCTAGCTTGTTCTTCAATATTCCTGTACATAGTTTCATTGTAGAACATAGTAATGTGATTCCTCTGTAATTTTCTGGGCATGTCTTCTGTCCCTTTTTAAAGATAGGAATTGTGATGCTTTGCAGCTAATCCTGCGGTATTTGTGCTGTGCGCAGAATATTGTTAGACAGTAGGCATAGTTGCCTCGTAACTTCCTGTCCGCCATATTTCACAAGCTCGTTAGGTGTATTGTCTAGTTCCGCAGCTTTCTTGTTTTTCAGTTTCTTTAATCTAAGTTATATTTCCGATTCGTCGATCGTAGCGTTAGATACAGTTTCGTGTTCTTCCAAAGTTACTGTTTCTTCAAATTTGTAAAGCTTTCTGAAGTATTCCTGCCAGGTTTCCATAGACACTCCTTTGGTTTGTGCATACTCATTCACTGGCTTTTTCCTGTTTTTGAGCAGTTTCCATACATTTTTCTGTGCGCCATACATATCGTATTCCATGTCGGCAGTAAACTTAATCAAATATTCTCGTTTGATTACTTTTATTTTTGAGTTTACTCTGTTTCTAGTCTGTACATATTGGGCTTGTGGTTCTACTGTCTGTAGGCTCTTGTACTTCAGATTGCTGTTTCTTTTGATGTCTGCGAGTTGTTTCACCTCCTGGCAGCACCATGGCTTAGTGCGGTTATTTGCGTTTATGTTTATCTTCCGTTTTCCAATGGCTTCTTCGGCGGCCTGTTCTATGCAGTTTTTGATTTTCAGCCAGTTACCTTCGACATCCCAATCGCATGTTACACAATTTAATTTGTTAGTTAGTCTACTTTCAAAGAGTGTTCGTGTGCTTTTGGATGTCAGTGACTCGGTCTTGTATTTTTCTATGTACTCTGGCGTTTTTCTGGCAGTTTGAGGGCGTTCCAGCAGAATATTGCATGCAATTAGGTTGTGATCTGTTCCTATATTGGCTGATGCTGACGCTCTGACGTCAAGAACTTGTGATGGTGTGATGACTCGAAGATTACTTAAACTATCTAAACTTGGTAAACTTGATTATTTAACTCTTCTTGGAGTGCCGTGCTTGGGTTCAGATGTTCGCTATCATCATGTTGACCATTCTGTAGAATCTGTCTCTGGCTGCTGATACTCTGAAGAGGTCTTTCACTCGTAGATCTGTCCAGTGTCTAATGTTGGGCAGCCAGGATAGTTTCTTTCGACCAATCCATCTCTTTCCTTATTCCTTCCCTGTGTTATGGGTCGAGGCCAGTGATATTTTGGACTTCTGATAATATGACCAAAGTACTTACGCTTTCTCCACTTGATGGTCTTCAGAAGCTCCCTCTGAGCGTCAACCATTCTGGGCACATCCTCGTTGGAGGTGTGTGTAATCCAAGGTATCTTCAAGATTCGACGGTAACATGACAAATTAAAAGCCTTCAAGTTTATTAATCGTTGCAACTTTCAACGTCCACGTCTCACAGGCATAGAGCAATGTTGATCACGCGTAGCAGTTTACTGTTTTTTCGTAGATGCATGGGAGATTTCTATTGCACAGAACTGGTTTCCATGATTTAAATCTTATGTTAACTATTCCAATCCGAGTTAAGTTTTTTCATCGAAGTCTCCCCTTGCATTCAGCCAGCTACCAAGATAATAGTAGTTGGCCCTGGTCAACGTCCACTTTGCCCACCGCAATCTATTTTATTTTGGAGATGTTAATTTTTAATCTTCTTCGATGACTTAATTCATTTACTGTGTCAACCAGAGTCTGGAGGTCTGTTAAACTTTAATCGAGGATGGCGGTATCGTCGGCATATCTAATGTTATTTATGGTTTCTCCTCCGATTCTTATAAATTTTTGCTGACAATGTACATTGAACAGTGTAAGCGACAAAACAGATCCCTGACTGAAACTCGTTTAATTGGAATTTTACTTGAACAGGTAATTAGAGATCTACCCTAACGGTGGCTACTTGATAGAATAGGTATTTCAGTATCCTATTTCAGTATCTTATCCATATATTTCAGCAGCAGATTATGTCGAACTCGATTAAAAGCCTGAAAGTCTATAAAACATACATAAACGTTATTTCGAAATTCACAGCACTTTTGATTATTTAACTACTGAACTAAAAATAAAAGTCAGAAATCGATCGTGGTTAACATAACTTGTGCATTCTAATACATTAACCTCTAGAGAATATTGTTTTCAATAACGCACACAATTTCTTAAACGCGATTCTCACTGTCGCGGCGAAGCCTAACAAAAGCGTGTAAATGGTAGTCGAGGTTCGCTATTACATATCGCACATTTTTCGTGCTGGTCCAAACGCGCTAGTGTGTAGGGAACTCTGCATATAAACCCCGACCTACACTCGCATCATAAAAGTCCGCAAACGAACGGGAATACAGGGTGTCCCGATAAGGGTAAAGAGCGGCCGTATCTCGACAACGGTAAGGACTAGCGGTTTCGGGAAAACATCCTTATAAGTAAAGTTGACATAAAAAATGGCTGGAAAATGTATTAAAGTTCGTAGCTTGACCGCTAAAAGTTGCGCCTCCTTGCGAACAAGCTACGAACTTCTATACATTTTACAGCCACTTTTTATGCCAACTTTACTTATAAGGATTTTTTCCCGAAACCGTTGTCGAGATATAGCTGCTCTTTACTCTTATCGGGACACCCTGTTTAATGCCTTGTTATTAGGCCTTTTGCGACGCAAACTTGAAATCAATGGGCTTCTTGCGGGTAACAACGATCCCAATTCTGCATCTTTTGCAAAAAAGTAAACCCTTCACCCTGTGGTACGACGCTCTTTGATCTAGTGTCGAAAAACCTACGAAGAGTGAATTACGAAAAACTTCCAGGGTCACACAGTACCACGTCCACACTTTAAATTTTGTACCCAAACCTGAGTGCACAGTCAGCGGACAAGCTGAACGCTGGAATTTTGTCGCAATCCACTCTGGTCGGTTTTTCGACAGCAGATCAAAAGAAATCGTGGCACAGTGTTAATTATTTATTTAGCAATGCTCTGAAAAAATACAGGTTTGGCATGCCCTGAAAACATGTGAAGTGGCATTCGAGGCGTATTGCTTAGAAATCTTGTCGCGTTTCTACCGCTTTAGCCTGAACGCGGCATATTGGATTTTAATTTTTAAACTCGCTTCATATAAACGTCACAGAGGTCAGTGTAAAAGTGTTAACTTAAATCGGTTTTCACGCGCAAGTCTGTAACGAACTTTAAAAATGTAAACCCTGGTTTACCCTCGCGTATCAAACCCCTCAAAAGCGAACGGACGTAAACGTGACGACTTATCTAGTTATTAAGCGATACAAACGCGGCCAAACCACAAAACCAGGGTGACGACAGAGTTTTTTGTAGCTATTGTCTGGAATGTAAATTTTATTTTATCTTATATTTTTATACCTACTTCATTGTGACGCTGCAAAATCCCACGTAAATGTGGAGAACTTTTGCGTTTACCAATTGCGTCTTTCGTCGTACAATTGTAAAGAAGGCTTTACATGCGAAACCCGCTCCACACTTTGCCAGTTGCCAAAGTCCTTTCCCGACATCACAACCTGCGACTTCTTTTTATGAGGGCAGCTAAAAGCGAAAGATTTTCAAGTCGATCCACCCAGGAAAATCGCAGCGCTCATACAACGAATCAGAGACGAGATTGCAGCAATTTATGCAATGTTCCCAGGATCGATTGCAAGAATGTATAAATGAAACGGAGGTCATTTGACTGATGTAATATTCAAAAACGAATGTTTTTTTCTAATTGTATACCAAATGGCTGTTCTTTAACTTTTGATTAATGTCTTAATTAGTTATAAAAATGACATGGTGTACATGGACAGCGCTGCTCGCTGGCGAGTCTGAAGTGGTCTAATAGACATTAGCACTACATACGGTACACCATTTTCTCAAAACAATATGCATACATTTCTGCCGTGTGTATAAACTATAAATAAGTTGATATAAATAATAAAAATATTATTATATCAATTTTAATACTACTGTCCTGTGTTAATTAACGTTCAACACATATGCATTTTAATATTTCTCTCCGCAATATGGTTTTACAATGTGTTTATCAATATTTCTTTGTGTTTTCAATTTTAGCAAATTATCACATCAGTTGCGTTTTGGGATTACTCAATACTTAAATTTAAGATAGCAGCTTTTAAATAACATCAATCCATTAAAGAAACACTCTTCACGGTTAAACATCGTTATTGCTAAGACGCAAATCTTAGAAAATGTATTAGTTTTTCGTACAATCTCCGTTGGGGTCGTGTAATTTACATGTATGAAAATGCTGCAAACGGCCGATGAAGAAACATTTTTTGCGGATTATTATAAACCATCTTACTTTTGTAGATCTCGAAATAGATCAAAATATAATTTTGAACATCAGTTTAAGAACATTTGTGAAATTTTCAAGGTATAATGTTTTTGTATAATTTGTTCGGTTACGGTTTTACAATAGCAGCATTTTTTTATAGAGCGGAGACGGTGGTAGTCCTGCTATTTGGGAGTGTCCTTTATGCCTAGCTGAGCTCACACCAGATGATTTTTGTGAATTGAACGCTTGTGGACATAGAGCGTGTATAACGTGCTTCCAACATTACTTGCGAGTAGAAATTACCGAATCCAGAGTGTGCATTTCTTGTCCAGAATGTTTGGAACCAATGCACCCAAATGGTAAGCTCAAACTAATTTTTAGTTTTCATCTAAGTATGCTTCGACTGAAGTTTAGATCCTGCGACTGATGCAGGTTAAATGATATGATCGGTTTTATATTGCCTTATTCATATAATGAATAATAAAATATCAAACATTACTGAATGCCATTTGTTGAATGCTATTCCCCACGTTTTTTATGGCTTATAACTTCAATAATTTTCGAGTGTAGAATGAGATACAATAGGTACATTCGTTTTCGAGCCATACGTTAATTTTTCGATCTTTGTTGATACATTCGTATAAAGGGCAACCAAAAGGCGGAGAAAAAGGAACACAACTTTAAAAGATCCATCGTTTTATTTGACGTTCAAGGCATTTCAAATTTATAAATACGCTATCAAAAATATGTATACTTACGATATTCATTAGTTTTAGTGTATCTATATTAATTCAAATTTTGCTTTCCTAAGAATAGACACATACTTATTGGTCATTTTTAATTATTTTATTAAAAGTAGATATGCAGGTTTGTATCAAAATTAATTATTTATGGGCGTCGGAAAACGACACTATAAATAATCTTATGTAAAATTCTAATAAAAAAGATGTTCTAATAAAGCTGAGAGTTGAAAAACATTCAAGGACAAAAAATAAATTTATGGTTTCTTGGCATATTTCTGGAAACTCGGAATATCAGTCTTAAGATATTTTTTGGCTAATGCCCAATTTTGTCCTCTTGCAACCGACTCGTATGTTATCGTTTACGATATCCCAATAGTAACATGTTGAATGCGTGACACCCTAGACATTGTTTAACAGAAACTTATGCAGTATGCCATTATCTGTTTCAGGGTTTTTTCCACTTTATACGGTGTAACTTACATTCTATATTTTATCACCATGTTGATGTTTAAAATCTCCACATGCATTCAATGTCACCCTGAGTGCTGATTCATTAACATTTGTGACGCACTTTGCATTTTTTTCTAATATGTGCGAAGTGTTAATAAATAATTACAAGTTTTAAACAGTAGTAAATGTTTTTATTTAAAGCCAACACAATTAACATTCTCTGTATTGATAGTGAGTCAACGGCAGATGTAAATTTATATGGCCCATCTCTTGGCGATATTCAATCATTCATTGCACTTGACGACGCAAGAGAGTTCAATTTTAAACGGTTTACACCATTTTACACTATTTTAGACCATTTTAGACAATTTTATACCATTTTAGACAATTTTAAACTCGTTTAGTCTGTTCGTGCTGTTATTTTATTTTAACTTATGGAGTTGAGGATGCTCACAGGGGTATCAATTGTGCATTTATTGACGAGTGAGTTGTTTTCAATATCATTTGTATCACCCATTAGTACACTAAACATTTTATTTTCTGTAATGTAGAGGGACTGATGATGACAGTCGAAAGCGCTAGGCCGAATGTACTTTTGAAGGCTTGAAAAAGACAGTTAATTACACACTTCAATACAAAAAAATTCTTTGATTTAATGTTCAATAGCTTTTTTCTCTTTTCATAAATCACTAACTAACATGTCAGGCAATGAAGAACGTGAATGTAGTTGTGCGTATATCCAAAATTGAAACCCGATTTTTATTTAAACGCTGGAAATGCCTGCTATTATGAATGCTGATTCATCAAGGATCTCACTTCTTCTCTATAGAGGCATCCATGTATTGAGGAATGTACGAAGGCGGTCCGATAAGTACTTAGCCTAAAAAAAAACGAAAATTTTGGGAAAGTGGCGAACATAGTCTTTTTTAATGGGATACACTTGACCCAGCGATGCTCCACTTTTTCTAACCCGTCTGAAAAATACGTTTTCTCGCGGTTTGCAAAGAAGGTGGTGATGACCTCCTCATTCGACTGAAATTTCTGCCTGACGAGGGGTCAAATCTGGATAATACGGTGGATGGGGCAGCAGTTCGTAGCCCAATTCGGCCAATTTTTGGCCCTTGCGACGGCGAGGTTGTCGTGGTGGAAGAGCACTTTTTCGGAATCGGCCCAATAATTCTGTATAGTAGAGCCCTGTGATCGTTTTTTCCTTCTCCTGGTAGTCGATGTAGATCACGCCTTGTGAATCCCAAAAAACGGTTGCATCACATTTCCAGCCGATAGGACAGTCCTTGCCTTCTCTGGAGCACGTTCGCCGAGTAAACTCCACTATTTCGACTGTTCCGTGGTCTCTGGTGTGTACCAGTGGATCCATGTTTTGTCGACGGTCACAAGACGACGCAGAAACTCTTTTCGATTGCGCTTAAACAGCGTCAAACACTGCTCTGAAGGAGTGCCACAGTTTCGCTTGTTGTCCAGAGCTGCCATGCTGAAAATTTCGTGCAGGATATGACCTACGCGGTCCTTTGAGATGCCTACTGTCTCAGCTATCTCACGCATATTCAATCGGTGGTTCTGCCAATACCAGATCGTGGATTTTTGTTATGTTATCCTCCGTGACAGCCCTTTTAGGGGCACCGGGACGTGGCTCATCAAAAACCGACGTGCGACCACGTTGAAACTCGTTAAACCAATTTTTGACAGTCGCCATCGAAGGAGTAGAGTTACGGTACACCTCTAGCGCTCTTTGATTTCGCTTCGTAATTTTCCTTCCAGAAACAAGAATCGAATAACCGACAATACTGCTCTTTTTCCATTTTTCTGAAATACGCAGACACTCCCGCTTTCACATGTGGTCAATACAAAACTACGATTCCGATTCTTAAATAAAAATTCGTGAACCGTATTCATTTATTTCATTGATACCAATACATAAAAAATATGAAATAACAAATACATATGAAATATTAGACTAAAATTAAGTCTCAACAATGTTCCGGCTAAAATATTTAAGTATAAATTTTTTCGCTTGAATAAGTAAGTAATTTTTTTAAGTGTTCTTTTCAGCCCTTTTCCATAAGGGTAATTTCTTTTGCCACCATATATTTTTATTAACGCATTGGAGATACTGCCGAGTAAAATATCAGTAATTGCCTTTGGAGAGTGTGTATTGCAGCCGTCAAAGTAAATAAGATGTTCTTGTTTCACCAGATAATTATAAATTAAACTACAGAGAAATCACTTTTGTGAAAAAAAGTTTAAAAATCTCTCTTCGTGAGTAACTTTTGAAATATGATACAAGAGGTGAGAACAACTTGAACTACAGGTTCTTTAGAATAAAGAAGTCCACCTCGATTATTTATAACTTTAAAGTTGTCTTCCAGAATAAGTTCTTCACCTAGTGTTAATAAATGTTTGCAGCATTTTACTTTATTTAAAACAATATGGTTGCAATACCCTCCTAAATAAGTAATAACTGGCATTTCACTTTTAACCTTGTCTATGTGAGTATCCTCAATGAAAATATGTTTCTCAATATGTCGTCGTAGAATTTTCATTTCCATTACTGTGACTATTATAATCACTCGGCTCATAAAACTTGTGAACGTTCAAATTTCCAAAATGTTGAGACTGTAATGTAAACATGGATTGAATTCTTAGTCTTTTTTCGGATTCATAAAAAGAATATAATTTAAATTAAGGTCGTCAAAGCAATATTTGATAGTTGTTGAATAAGCTTGTTGCAAGAAAGTATGCAACAGTGGCAACATTTCTAAAATGGGGGGTTTCAATTTGAAAAAAATGATTTTGGGCGGTTTTCTTAATTTCATTTGGAAACTCATTTTTTTAACACTTTGTATTAATACTTATCAAAATGTGATCGAAATTCTATTACGTACGAAGTACGTCCTCTTCAACAAGGGATGCGACTCAAATTTAGAAACTAATATTTCCTTATATGAAAAATTATTGATTATTCGAGTGCTTGTACTATAATTTTTTACATAAAATTGTTATACAAATATATCAAAAACGATTAGAGTTAAGTATATGATATTATACACGAAACATATTTAGAATTTGCAGTAACTTAAAAAATGTAATGTGTGTATATAGGGTGTTCCATTTAAAATAAGCAAGTTTATATCTACTTCCTGTTCGCAAGTGTGGCTATCTTTTGCCAGAAAACCGCCAAGGTTAAGAGACAGTTTACTTGCTGTTGTACACTGACTAGATTCTATTTGGTACATTTTCTAATTAATTAATTATTTTTGCAATGTAAAGGTTTTTCATGTTAAATGTTTCATTGATATCTATAAAATAATAAAAAATTCAAGTGCGGCTTTAAAACTATATATGTATATGTAATATTTCAGAAATCAAAAGTATCCTGAGCAACCCCGCATTATTTGAAAAATATGAAGACTTTATGGTTCGAAGGGTACTGGCGGTTGATCCAGATACTAGGTAAGTGTTGAAACAACTTTAGTCATAGGTCGCCATATCCACTTCTCAAACCGTAGAAATATTGGAGTTTCAACCCAAATCTCATTAAGAATACCCTTTTCATTTGTCTCGATCCAGTTTAGAACAGAATGACACAAATATAAGAATTTTATTTGTATGGTCATCGGATGTTGGTAAATCCTCAACAAAAGAGCCTGGCAAAAGCTGTGATATGAACCACATATGTTTAATTTCAGATGGTGTCCGGCTCCGGATTGCAGCTTTGCCGTGATAGCTTCTGAATGCGCTAGCTGCCCGAAGTTACGCTGCGAAAGACCTGGGTGTCACTCATACTTTTGCTATCACTGCAAGGCCGAATGGCATCCCAATCAGACATGCGACGCTGCACGTGCTCAGCGCTCGCCCAACTTACGTTCTTCGTCGGTGGCGTACAGTCAGGACTCTCAGCACAGTAAGTGCATTATTTTAAAATGATTAGTTGTGAAATTTTATTTTTTGACGGTTGATTTTGATGATTGATCCTTATGTGAGTTATCATAAAACACGATTCTCCAAAATTACTCAAGCAAACAGTTACAGCAGTTTATTGGAACTTTCTGATGCCTTTTAATGACCAAGTATGAACACTGTTAAAAAGTAACATTTGTTTCAGGGGATGATATTAAACCATGTCCCCGATGTCAGGTTCTGATTGTGAAAATGGATGATGGGTCTTGTAATCACATGATGTGTGCTGTGTGTGGTGCTGAATTCTGTTGGCTGTGCATGAAGGAGATTAACGATCTACATTTTTTAAGGTATATGTAAACAATTTGCATAAGTTTCAAATTTTTTTGCTGCATGAAAATGTCCTTAAAGGCTATATTTTATGAAAGTGACGAATTGTTGAACTAATTTATGTTGTTCTATTCTAAAAGCCCATCAGGTTGCACGTTTTGGGGCAAGAAGCCCTGGTCAAGGAAAAAGAAGATTTTGTGGCAGCTGGGCACTCTTGTTGGTGCACCAATAGGAATTGCTCTTGTCGCTGGCATCACTGTACCCGCAATGGTCATTGGTAAGTCAACAACTAATGATATGTAAAATATGTAGAAATTTAGCTGGCATTTTTGAAAAGTATAAGTTTCTTTTTAATTGGCAATGCATTAAATTGTTTGTTACATAGGTACTTTTCGCATTTTATTTTTGTATAAACCATCATCAGATGCAATTGTGTATGTAAACAGGGTAATTCAAATGTCACCCATAAAATTCGTATATTTTGGAGTATAGTATATTCGGATGTTTTAAACGACGAGCCACGTAACTTAATTGTAATTACCATTCAATGGTTCAATCACGTATTTACTATCAAACCAGTATAGAGATGTTCGTTTAATATCATTTTATTATCAATTCTTCGATATTAGACTCATTATGCATATATTCAGTTAAATGTAATGTTGCTTATTAAACGTGAAATAATTATAATTATTTTCTAGTGCATAGCGGTCGGAAATATACAGTGGTAAATGATCTTGATGGTTTTGTCACCAAACTGTTTTATTCTAAATACCAATAACAACTGATATATTTTCAAGCTTTCACGCGTAAATAAAATTATGTTTTCAAAATATCTTTGGCATTAAAATAATAGTGTGTTTTTAGTATAAAATTTTTAATTTCCATAATAAGCCAGAATGACCTCAGGGCTATTTGAGAATAGCAACAAACCAATTATTTTCCTAAAAGTGCAAAATTTCAAGCATAGATCGTTTGATGGTGGCTTGAACGAGTGTTGAACGAATTTATCGACCATTTAGCCGAGATCGATGTTTGATCCGAACACACATTCAGCCTAATTTGGCAAATTTTCTAAAGCACAACCGTTTGTTTCGCGTAAAGAAAAATGTAAACCTCGACAATTCAAATAATTTTTAATAATTTATTTTGCTAATAAAAGCATATTGTACTTCCCTCAGCATTACAGAATAGACCGAAAATAGGCTCCTGGGATTAGCTGGCCATGTGACGTTAAGTATGAAGAATACCAAAGACCAACGACGGAACTACCATAACCTTAATTTGAATATTATTTACTTATTTATCTTTGCAGTATTGGTAAAGACTATTGACTCTTTGGTATTGGTGCATTTACCTATTTGCAAAAATGCATAATCAATCAGTTTTAGTTGTAACCGAATCTTAACTATGACTTATGAGTCATAGCCCGTAAATCTTAAGAATGAATATTTATAGGCTATCTATATGAATATCTATATCTGAGATTCAATTCTTATGACTTCTGGCCAAACAGCTAATGACTGAATGCTCGTTTCTGTTGTGGCTTCTTTTATAGTTAAATCATAACAGAAACGATACTACGTCTTATTTTAAAGTAATAGTCGGCATAAGTTACCATATAATTCTATCAAAAAACGGGCTTGTTTGTCCAGTTTAAAACCATTTTGTGAGTGAAGAGTGGAAATAATAAAGAGGGCAAGTGTCTTTGTTCCACTTCCATGGATTTCCACATGCAAAATTTGTTCAAAAGTCTGGAGTTACCAAAAGACATGTTCACATATATTATTACTACGCCTGGAATTTTTTTTCAATCTGCAAATATGTTTGTATTTTGAAGGAATTTGACAAAATATAACATAAAGCAATAAATAATATTGTTGGATATCGGGTTTGGGATTGGATTAAAAACTCCCTTTACACTCTAAAAATTGCCAACCTTTCGACCCTTATTCAAGGCTAGAAAGACAGATGAAAGATAAATAAAAATAAAATGCCAGAGCTCTATGCAGTCAGCAATGTGTTGATATAATTAAAATATTTCAAAGTATGGTTATAATCGTAATTTATATTGCACACTTGACGTCCCAGGGACAGCCCATCACACGAGCCCTTTTCCGGTTTATTCTGTAACGCCGAGGAAAGTGCATAGATCTGGGATGCAGCTTGAACAAAAAATGGAATCAGTCACAGGAGATTTGATGCCGTATAGAGAAGGCAAGAGCTGTCTTCAACCGCCTGAGAAAGATCCTATGTAGTATGCACCTACATTGATTTAAGAACTCTAGTATTGAGATGCTATGCATTCTCCACACTTCTATATGGAGTGGAAGTCTGCACTTTAGCGAAAACAACATCTAGACGACAGAAGCCTTCGAAATGTAGTGCTACCGCCGGATGCTCAGAATTTCATGCATCAGGTCGCAAACAACACCGTGATGCAACGAATGAAAAAAAATCTGCAATGCAATCTGCATCTGAAATTATGCATAGGTACTGTGAAAACCAGATAAATCGTATTTAGGGCATGTCCGTTGCAATGAGAATTACGAACTAATCCAGCTAAAAGCAAGATAGAAGCTAAAAGAACTCTGGGGCGCCTACAAACATCATGGCTGAAGAATATCAGGAATTATGACCGCACATTTATTTAGAACATCTGTCAACAAAATCATATGGGCCAACGTGATTGCCAACATCTATAGAGGATAGGCACTAATAGAAGAAGCTATTAATATATTGCTAATATTGATTTTGAGCATTCTTCCAAAAGTCTATTTTAAATATTTGTTTTGGTACTCATATTTGGACGTTTGAAATATGCTAAAATTTTTCCCTGGTTTTGGCTCAAAATAATAATAAATTGTTTCATTGGAAAGTCATGTGTGTAAGCTTGACCGAATAATGCTTTACAATAATGTTTGTTGAGTGAATCGAATCGTTCAACTGATTGATTTTTAAAATTTTGTCCTGTAGGGATTCCTGTTTGGGTTGGAAAGAAGCTTTTTACCAGATATAGAACTGCAAATAGGCATAAGAGAAATGCTGCTATTGTAGGAGGAGTAATAGCCTCGGTAAGTCTTTAAATATAATTTTTGTTTTGAATCTGGTGATTTACTCAAGGTCAGATTAGTTTTTACATTTTTAATTAAAAATATAAAAAATCTCAAAAATTTGTTACATTTTGTAAGGTGGCTATGGAATTCAATAAATAAGTGTCAAAATTTGAGGATACTTCACATAATCAATGAAGAAAAGTGCAACGTTTTATAAAATGCATGGAATTTCATATCAAAAAATGCAATAAAACTGCATACGTCTATAAACATAAAAATACAAAATTATAACTACAGTGATATTTTAAAATAAATGTTCGATATGATTTCCGTTAACATTTAAGCAACGCCAACGTCGCAAGTAAGAAAAAAACAATTTACTATATACATACAATATATATATACAATTTACGGTGCATATGCAGCGTTTCAAGCTGCATTCCATGAGCTAATGAAAAATGGGTAGTTCTATTTAAAAAAATACACTTTGATCTTGCCTCGCTTTTATGAGACACTCTGTGTCATATAAGATATTTTTTTAATGTGCGCACGTTGTGCGTCAACAACTTTTATACCAAATTATTTTTCGAAAGTTCAACACCAACGGAAATAATGGACTCTTTCGCATTATAAAAACCACCCTGTATGTACGACGTTTGATCAAGTTCAAGACGACATTTCAAATAATTACTATTTGTTTTATTATGTCCCAACGAATTAAGATAAGACTAATTATAACTTGAAAAATCACATTTTTGCACAAAATGGTCTTAAAACGTCATAGAGTAGTAGAGCTTCAAGGAGACGTTTCCAGATATGGATTCGAACACTCAACTGTATTCTATCCTTGCACTGAACAATCCCAAGAGATTTGATCCGATATTTCTGAATCGCCTTGATTATTGTCTTAAGTTAACGATAATTGACACACATACTAATATCCTTTCAAAATTTGATCAAATCCAAAAAAAAGGATTTACTTAAATTGTACATAGAAAAAGTAAGAAAATTGTCGAGGCTGAAATGAAATAATACCCAGTCTTCAATATAAGTTTTCCTGCGGTCAGATAAATAGTTGAAAGAGATTCAAGATCAAATTATATTGTACCGTTGGATGGCCGAGTATTAAACTCTTTCCTCAGCTTACAACTTTTATTCCACTCGGTACAACTTTAACTACGGAACAGGAACAAACTAACTTCTAAAATTAATGTCAACTTCACAAACGATAACAATAACACACGGAAAACACGGATTTCCGACTCGCGGGTTTAACTTCTTCTGCACTCAGGCGCGGCCGTCACTTCACTCTCTCCCGTCTGGTTCTCGTCGTCGCTTATAGAGTTTTCTCCAGGTAACCCAGAAGGTTCTCAAAATCTCCAGACCAGGTGCGAAATTTCCCGCTTGTCACTGTCATATTTGACAGTAAATGGGGCCCAAATGGAGCTCCCATTTACTGAAATACCATGAATTTCGATCCCCCATTCCAAACGTGAGTACCCCAGGCCCTTTCCGTTACAATATTTTTAATTAAAATAGACCTTTAAAAACCTTTTAAAAAAAATAGACCTTTTGAACGACTTTGAGACTGAACTTGTAACAAAGTTATAATTTACAAATTGTAAGTAAACTTTAAATTACGATAAATAATTGTCTATAAACCTACGTAATTAATTAAAAAAGCCGGTCGGCCACTTTTTAATGAAAATACACGTTCAATTTGTCACAGTTACTTTTGCGCACATGTGCGTGAGCGAATATTGGAGAAAAGTGCTTCTTTTTATGAACGCTGCTGATCGAAAAATGGCGGTTTTTGATTCATTCGAATAAAAGACATTTAAGCGCTTGGTTTGAAGGCAAGACGGTCTTTTATAACAATTTAGGTAGCAATTATTTTTTAATTGCATGATATTTAACGTATTCTTATAATTAATATTTCAGTAGTGATCAGTTAACTGATAAATGTGACAATATCCTGATAACTGATTAATGTGACAACTTAACACCAACATTTCTGAAGCTCCTATTTTAATTGAAAAATTGATATATCGTGACAGAAGAAAAGCACATCGTCTATAAATTATAATTAAAATACATACACGCATAATCAAAGCATTAAATTAGTACATTTTAAAGTTTCGTGCAGTGGTTTAAATCAGGAACACTTTATGGACAAAATCAATATTGCGATTTAATTTCTGCACCTATGAACGTGTACGGGTAGTCGAAATAGATTCGAGCTATTATTAATCATCCTGGGTCATTTAACTTTCAATGTCATGCTATAAAAATCGAATACGTTTTCTGTTAATTCAAAATGTAGATTCGATAAAAGATAAGATCTGGTTATTGCTTTTTCTTGCCACTTTGGCTTTGTTTAAATATTGTTTGGACTTTTATTAAAACTGAGTTACATTTTGAATAATGTTCAAACTTTCGTTCTATTGTTATCTAGTTAGAAAAAGTAATATTAAATTATTGAACATCTAGGTTTTATGTCGGTTCGGACAGTATACTAATCAAAACTAATTATTTCAAGATATTTATTTTGACACAGACAAAGTTTATTCATTATTCGACTCAATTGATAAAAATGTCATGAACAATGTTGCTACTACACCTACATCTAGATATTCTTTGGCACAACAGGATGGTATATTACAATGCAAAGGCTAAAAATATAGGACAAGCTACAATTGCCTCCGGTTTTTTCGGAATTTAACAAATACTGAAACAGGAATATAATTATACCAAAATATCGCATTTAAACGACGTAGCACTAAATTGTTTGCTGCTTAAGGATTAACTGGTGCGAGGAGAATTTAAAGGAGTTAAAGTACATAGGTTATTTTTTCAATGATTTGGCGAACTTATTTTCTCGAAGGCAGCAAACACTTAAGATAATTGTTTGGAGCATTGCATATTCCGTAAAGTAGCTCAATGACTAGTATGAAACGTCTAAAAGTTATACGATTTAATGGAAGTGATCTTAAATTTAAGGTTCAAGACTTGTTGACAATGGTTGGTCTTATTTTTAATTACCAAATATTAATTTCATTAACACGACTAAAATGTATTTCTCAAAGCCCGTAACTATATAAAAATAAAACATAAAGAGCATCTAAGAGTAGTTAGCCGACTGAATGCCGGTTTATTCAAGTTTCGCACACTTCCATCTTTTTTAACTTGAATTTAATGTACACAGCGTTTTATCACCATCGAGGTACATGACTGTGTCCAATTTTACTTCTGTTTGGCGACCACTGGGTTTAAAAGATTTTCTGTGTGCAGATCTTTTAGAAGTTCAACCAGACGTTGTTCCATTTGAGCATTTCCTAGTGCTAAGTCGACTGAACCTGAAAAAAGCATCAACAAATTGTGATCTATAAAGTGTAATACCACTAGGCTATAAGCATGACGTATAGCTTATTACTTATATATACTTATTTAAAAGCAAATGCCTTAAGTCTCAAAAATGTGCGAAAAATGTAACTACATTTATAGCGACAGTAACAACTCTAACAAATCAGCAAATTGGATAATGTTATTTATATTTTTCTTCTGGGTTATAAATGCATTGCTCATAAATACTTTCTTAAATACATTCAAACAAGTTTCTGTGTAGCTACCAACCTTGAAAATCACTTAATCAATCAATTGATCATACCTATGCATAACAGCAAAGCTAACAATTGTCCTTTCTTAAAATCTTCCCCCAGTTTCGCTCGGGTATAGTGCAAAGTATCTTCGATATCCACTTTGAGTTTCTTACTTATCTTGGTCAGTTTTTCCCAGTAGAGGTCCAGCAGCTGGTCAGTGTGTTCTCGTCTTAATTCCGCTGGTACTGAGCTGACCAGTAGTAAGGCTATATCGTTGGTTGGTCTACTGTAGGTTACCATCTGCCAGTCGAGAATTGTACATTCACACACCTATGAAAGCATTTGTTTTTCAGAACAGCTGAAATTGATTTCCACCATTACACACTTACTCCTTGCACTTCCCTGAACATGAGGTTGTTGCACCAGAAATCTGTGTGAGTTATTAGAGCCATCGGTTCTTCGGCACTGAGTAAATTTTCTATTATTTCCTTTGTGTGTGGACGAAGCTCGTTGAGCTTTTTAAGTATATGTTGCAGTTCAGTCTTGCTTTCCAAAAACTCAAACAATTGCGGCAGGCCCCTCTCAACAAGTTGCTGATATGAATCGGACGCTTGAGAGGTTTGGAATAGGAAAGGATACTTTTCTGATAGAATTTGACCTTGGGAAATCTGCAAATAATGTAGAAAATTAATCGATTTTATCACATCTATCTAAAATGATCTCAATTCCCATGATCATCTCATGGTCAGTTCTACACTACTCCTATTAATGATTCGAAAACTCGCAAAATGGCAAAAGCTAAAATATGTCTAGACTCACCTTTAGACATAAAGAGAAAGAATGCACTTTTGCAATGGCTTCTATCGCTGCTCTAGCTTGATTCAAATCGAGCCCGATAGCGAAATTTACGGACTGAAATCCTTGTGGCTTTATATTTTCTAAAACGAGGGCGGATGATGGAGGAATGATTTCGGGTTCTGATTCGCCGGGACTATAATGTGCGTAATAGCATGTGGGGATGGGGAGAGCTAAGTCGTTTTCGGTATCCTCCAGACAAGTTTCGGATTTAAACGCTTGTATATCGGGAACCACCTGAAAACCAAGATATAGTCGATTCTTGTTGCTTAGACAAACGAAAACGTCACCACTACTTTTACTGCTGCATCTGCAAAGCGCGTCGCGTGCATATGCAGATTCAGGAAAATATATTAAGTTATCTGGATCAAATTATTTATGTGCAAATCTGCTTATTTTTGATTGAACATCAAATTTGAATTTAAAACGCTCAGTTTTCGAGAATGATATATGTTACTTTAGAGAGATTAGCAAATATGATTATATTTAAAAAAGTCCATAAAATTTGTAAATTTTTATGTGGTAATAAATATTGGCATATTTTGAAGTCTAATTGCAATTTAGAACTGCCTACTAAATAAGCAATGAAATGGGACAAAAATAAATTTTAAAGAAACTTAAGTCGAAGTGGAAACGTTCGGTTGAAAAATTAATTTAGATATAAATCTGGCATCTTAGTTATAAATTCGACCAAATCCAAATATTTGGAAATGCAGATTTGAGATAAATTTAATTTTCAATGACAGATATTTTCTCGTCCGAGCATTTTTGAAAAGGTTATTAAACGTTTTATTATTAGCTGCAGTATACATACTCAGATAACATATTTATAACTTTGTATCACTATCATTTACCACTCCACTGATTAAATGTTGTTGATTTCAACTAACGTCACTCAATCAATGGAATTATTGGCCAAAGTTACATATCTGAGTTTCTAGTTAATGCCACTATACACAGTGGTGTAAAAATTTTAATTTGATTCATTTAAATTGTTTTGTGAAAATGCACGTCTGAGTGCAAAGATTTGTTAATTTAGGATATTATTTGTTTTCATTATTGAATATGATACATAAAATATTCAATAGAAGAACTTGTTCTCAGACTTTAAATAATATTTTAACGTAATAACGTTCTCAATTTTTGCGAGGTGTAAATAAGTTCTTAATTTTTGCAAGAATAAGTTGAAAATCTAAAGTATTTTTAGATTAAACATATCAGTCAGTTTATATCACCGGAGTGGTTTTTGCTTGCGGTGCAATTTTGACTTACGCCATTATTTATTGATGATAGGAACTATTTTTACTGATTTTTTAAAGATTTGTAGTGTTGGTTGACAACATTGAAAGGACATATTAACTCCAAAGTTTAATCAAATTTGACCGCATCTGTGAAGTCGATGATACACATTTTTCACTAATTAATTACTTTATGAGGTCACAACCGAATTGTATGTTTTAATGAATACATTTCCCACGTACGTAGATAATAACCATTTGAACAAAATCAACATTTTGTATACCTGTTTTAACCGGGTGCTTTTTAAATCAGCGTGAGTTATTAGTATGGAATAAGGGGAATAGGTAGGTACTCAAAATTTCTCATAAAATACTCATCCGATTTTCCCAAAATATAGTTTGGCATTGTGTATTTTTTGTCGGTAATTGAGTGGAAACGGAAAAGCTGTATAATACATAAAAAATCCTGCAGTTTTTAATTTCCTGTTTATCTGAAGGATTTTTCTTTCTTTGAATCTTGCTAATCGTAGAACTGTAAAACTGGCTATTCTGATCTACCCAACAAATATATATGGTATAAATTCGGGTTTGCATAACAAATATCTTTAAAATATTGAATAGGTATATAAAACGTAAAATTAAATAAAAAATGCTAGCTTTAAGATATTGTGTTTGTCATAATTATTTATATTAAAAACTCAATGTAAAAAATGAAAATTCTCGTTCAATTTTTTTTACTATTGTAAGCGTGAGTTTTCAACTTTGCAATTTTGAGTAGATAAAAGGCTGTTTATCAAACATATGAAAAGTCAATAAACGGTATATAATACCCGTTGGCCGTTAATGAGGAGTTTCATAATTTTTGAAACATTTTTCCAGCTTACCTGTGTGTAAAACTTGATTTCTCGTAAATCGAATTGAGCCTCAGTTACAAAGAATCTACTGAAAGGATCTTGAGGTAGTAGCTTTACAATGAAGTTTAGACTATGATGGGTTCCTTCTAGATGTCTTCTATAAAGTAGATCATGATAAACAATCTATTTTAATACCTACTCCAATTTAAAACGCAGTACTAGTTGATCAGACTATTGAAGGCCTTAATAAATGTAAATATTTTTGAAATGCATCCTAGCAATCTATTTTTGTTTCAAATAAACATATTGTTATAATCCATCAGTCCATTTGGTTACTTATTTAGATTATTAGTTCTTGAGTAATAGGTTGATAGCAAACCGGTTTTAATTCCTTATTGAGGCTCACCTTAAGCAATAGGTAACGGTGACGGCCAGTATATCGGACAAAACGCTCTCTCCTGTTTCACATCCAGGTCGCACAGTAAATTCTAGTATAGTTATTGCTGTCGATTCTGTCAGGTCTTTGTGGTGCTCTTTTAAGACCGCCTGAAGCCATTCTTCGGTGACAGGCCAATCAGCAACTCCACTAATGTTATCGCTGCAATCTTCTTCACTGTCCGACATTCTCTAACTAGTAACTCGATCAAAGATGAAATTTTTAGATTATAATGCCTTTGAGCATTAGCATTAGTACATTACCTGCAAAGTACATTATAATTGTTATCACTTAAAGAAA